TTCTTCAAAAGAACACTGTACGGGAAGAAGGGCTACGATTTACCCTCTAGAAGGGCGAATAAAAATTGTAGCCCATATCCGAGAACGGTTCCAGACTCCTGAGGTCGTCGCCGACCTGGGACTATTTGGAAACAGAAACGTGTTTATGCCGTTTCTGACTGTTTTTACAGTTTCTATTAGTTTCCAAATAGAAACCGTTCGGGAGAGGGACTACCGTGCGGTTTTCGCTCTCTGTTTTGGCCGACAGAGGTACCGCACGCACCGGGAAAGGTCTGAGACGTACCGGTGCGGGGCTGGCGGGGGCGTACCTGTGGGGTTTTGGAGGAAATCGAAGGGGAATTCTTGGAAAAATGGCCAGCCCTCCGGGGGGGTCCTGAAAAAACGCTTCTTTGCGCCGGTTGTTCGATGACCCGGCGCAGGCTGAAGCCGCCCAATCCGAACGGTGGCGTACCGCGAATGGAACCGCGAACCGCTGGAGCGCTGAACTCCTCCGCGCGGGTCCGGAGATGACCGACGCTGCGGGTGTGCATGCGGGTTTGAGGACTCGAGGAAGGTGACTACTGTACGGCCGCGTCTCCGCGGCCGACGCATGGTCTCCGTTCGGGATAGGAGACCGTCACAGCTGGCAGGGATTTTAACCCGCCGCGACGGGGACGTGTCGCGAAGTAAGGAAGGGGGTCTGTAGTACAACGGCGCGAAGGCAACGGCGCCACCGCTGCCGCCCCGGGATACAGTACGATGGGCTGTAAGCGCGAGAAGAACTGTAAGGAGTTATATTTACAGCACACGGCCGGTGCGGAGTACAGTAGTACCCGCTGGTTACACGTGTAGGATCCGAACGGTAAGTAATTAGTAATTAGTAGTTAATGGCACAAATTAGCCAATTTAGCACAGTAGCTGGTATACAGTAAGTAACAGCTACTGTAGCGGGACAGGTGTCCTGGCGTCCCACTTAGGGGTTAAGACCGGGGGCACCTGCCCCGTTCCAGTAAACGGGGGCAGACTCGCCTCCCTTCCCTTTACGGCTTTTTGCTAACTCCGTCCGGTTTTACCTCTAAGTCTCAGGCTTCTAACCCGTGACCGGCCGTCCGGATCTAACACCACCGACCGGCTGCGCGTCACCGGCCACGTGAGTCTTCCCTCTTTTCGAGTCCTTCCGTACGGTTTGCGCTCGCGTGGGTTACCCAGCGGCGCGCGCTCCCTTACCTCTAACCCCCCTCGTTCCGAGTGGTCGGGACGAAGGTAGTTATACCACAGCTGCCAGGAAGCATCCTGGAAAAGGTTTGCGGAGGCCTGAGCGATGGCAGTGCGGCGAGCGGCGCGCTCGGCGAAGACTGAACATTGCAATTCCTTCTCGATCCTCCTCCTGTTATCGCTTTTTTACTTCTCCCGTGCTAATTCCAAAGCCCTCGCAGATGTCAGCACCGCTCCCTTTTCTGTGTTCAAATATCCGTTTGATGCCATTACTGTGTCCTCTCCTAAAACCTGATGACACATTTTAAGTCTTTTTTCCTCAAATAAATTCTCGAGCTCATCAACTGTCATCACGACATCAGGTGCCGCAAAACTTCTGGGTCTAGGAATCCACAGGAGTTGGGAGGAATCGACTGGAAAGAGGCCTGGGCGGCGGAATCCGGTTTTGATGTTGTGCGGAGTAAAAGACTTTCTGTACGCAAAAGTCAGCATCCGGCAAAATGTAAAAGAATCCCAATTGTTATCTCCATTGCGCAATACTGCCAAATTAATTGCTTCGTTTAGAGCAGCCTTGAAAGCCGAGAAGACAGTTACATACAGCGGCTGAGTTTTGCCCGATGTGTGTGCTGGCAGGGCATATACAATACTATTGTGCGCATCCAGCAACTCAAGTGTATCCACAGCCATGTGGGATCGGTACCCGTCCAGTATCAATAAAACCTTTCTGTCGTTAGTGGTCAGATGAGCAACAGCACTTATGAAGTGCGAAGCCCAAAGGCGAAAATTGCTTGTGTCCACCCCACCCCCACTTTCTGGCATGGTGATCAATGATTTCTCTGGCAAAACGTCAGCATACGTTTCTACGACCTCAACCCCTTCCTTTTTCGTCACCCTATAAGGTACAAGGACTCCCTTAAAAAACATAGGTGGCATACTGGCTCCATTGGCGCTGACGGCCGGTAGAAGCGTGATTCTATTTGTATTTAGAAAATGGCCAATTTTTGCGTCCTGGGAACCAGCTCTCGTTATATAAAAACGAACATTCTGTTTCTCATTTGCATCACGTCCTGGTGTAGCGCCCGTTTCATCGCAGTTCAAAATCCTTGAGGGGTCTATCTCGTGCTCTCGGATAATCTTTTCGACAATTGCAAAATGGGTGGTGAGCGCGTCGCCGTTGACTGATTTGAAGCGCAGCGCCTCCTGTCGCAAAGGTTTGGCAAATCGAATTTGCGTTCGATGCCTGCGGGTGAGGTCCCGAAGATAATGGGAACCAGAAGACCCATTTTTAAACTGCAATGACAGTCTGCGGCCTGGTGTCATTCGAGCGACGATTATCTCAATTGCTTCCTTAACGTGCCTGCGACGGAGTGGATTGCCACGTTCGGCATATTGAAACAGCGTCAGAACCATGTCCTCTTCAACTGAGGACAAAGATGGATGGCGACCGGGGCGGCGGGGAGATGGCACGCGAGGATTTTGTTTCGCAATGTTGTCGTGCAGTGTAGAACGGGGAACGCAGTGACACTCGGACGCCTTGCGAATGGTGCTCCCTGATCAAACAATTTCCATGGTTTTCTTTAGTCGTTTGTGTTTGGAATGGCGAGGACGAGGGGATGCCATTTCTTGGTCTTGGAAAAACGGCATAAAACACATTCATCTCGAAGATGCATGCTTCGAATAGTGTGTGTCGATATTATCGAATGTGTATGGCAATTTGGCGCGAGCGGGGAGTTGTGCTTTTGAAAAGCCCGCCTTGTCACAGCGGAGACAGTAAATAATAGTGTCTTATATGTAACATGCCGTGTTCTGCTCATTGAGCAGATTTGTTTTTAAATCTATCCACACGGTTTGCGATTAGAACACGATTCGTGGCGTGCTCTATGGTTGAGAAGGCGTCTTGGCTCACGCATCACATATGTTTTCAAATATTTTTGCAGTCCGGATAGTTGCGGCGTTGTCCGAGAGTTGCGTTACCCCCCCTTTACATCATATGCCAAAAAACCCCGAACGGGGCATGTTGAAGGCGTCTACAAATCGGAGCACAGGGATAGGTGAAGCTGCTTCCAGGCAGTAGGACTTTACGCGAGAGAAAATCATCAAAAATTTGGTAAATTTTCCTTCTGCTCGGATGGGCAGAGATACTCCAAAACATGCGAATTCTGTGCATCTACACGTACTGCTGTGCTCCACACGTGTGATAATACATACAGTATAACACGTGGACCTCTTGTGCTTTCACTTGGTGTCAGGCTGCACCGGCCGTTTTCTTCTCACAGTGTGGCGTAGTGTCGTCAATTGCCCAGCTATCATCGTCACATCATCGTTTCTCCTCAGCTTAAATGCATCCGCCGAAGGCCCGCCAGTGCACGAATTGCAGCTCCCTACTCCTATAGTGCTCACCGTCTCCATCAGTTCGGCCACTCTGCGACCAATGTTCGTTGACACACAGCACGCCATTGTCACGTTGAGTCCCGCGCTGCACCGACAGAAGCCCAGCAACGGCCGAGGGTAGTGTCGTTCGCCCGGCCATGGAAAAACAAATCGAAGCTCCTCATTTCGCAGATGTCGATAGATGTCTTCTTACAAACAAATCTATTCTTTCCCTCTCCAAGGCTGACGCAGCTGGCCTTCTCGAGCGCCGCTCCAACATTTCCGGCTGGTATACCTATTGGTTTTCGCTTAGCGGTTCTCAGCTGCAGTACTTCGAGATCACCCAACGCCAGCGCCGCGGACTACTGGCCGGGGTCATCTCACTCTTCCGTCATAAGTTGAGCATTGTCAACTCAATCAAGAGAAGGAGAGAGTTTGAAATCGTCGATGCCGCCGGCAAGGTCCACGTCCTTCGTGCTGGCTCGGATGCCGAATTGCACTGGTGGGTGCAGCTTATCGACAGCGCTCGTAAAAAGATACCCCCTGCCCAACCGATCAACCCGTCCTTGAACCTGCGGAGCACACCGGATGTGGGGAGCAGCGTCTTACACGAAGAATACAGCACTTTCGTGGACACGCATCTTGAGGTTAATCATGTGCTTTGCGTTGTCCACGGCATTGGAGTCAGCTCCGATATTCTGTCTGCAAATTCGCAGTCGATGCGGGAGAGTTACGTAGATATCATGGCCAGGGTCTTTCCTGACATCGACTTTCGCGTAGAAGTGCTCGTGATTCATTGGAGGGAGGCGCTCACGAATCTAGACGTACACAAAAAACTGCAGGCTGTGGTACCAATTGCGCCCGAGCCAGCAGATGCGAACCCGCTGCGACAGTTTATGGTACACCGGATTGTTGATTACGTCTACTACACTCACGACCGGTACCGTCGGCATATCCTGCGGGAGGTGGCGTCTCAATTGAACACGCAAATCGATAGCTTCCGGAGAAGGAGGCCAGATTTCAATGGGAAGATTAGCATAATGGGCCATTCGTTGGGTGCAGCTCTGTGTTACGACTTGATGTGTCGCAAAGTGCGAGATGATCAGGTGTTGCTTGCGTCGGAGGGTATGCGTTTGAATTTCGATGCAGATAATCTCTTCTGTTTTGGGAATCCCCTCGGTACCTTTCTCGGGCTAGATCCGACGATTGGTATGGGATCGAATATGCTTACGCTTCCTTTCAGGATATTTAATGTGTTTAAGTATCATGACCCTATTGCAACACGACTAGAACCGCAAATTGATTTCGATATGGTGGATGTATGTCCTGTGACGGTACCGTGCTGGTTTAACATGGGGTTGAGGGAGAGTACGGCGCAGTGGCTGAGCACGTGGTGGCCCGGGGGTGAGAAGAGAAAATCGGGGGTAGTAGCGACGATGACACCTGAAGAGGGAGAAGCAGCCGGGCATGGAGAGAGAGCGGAGGAGAACGGAGATGTGGTGGTAGGAGATGGAGTTGAAAGAAGGTCCCTTCGGTTGGAGAACGGGACATCATCGCGGAGGAAATCATATGCGGAAGCGGTCGAGTCTGGGCAATCATCACCGAGTAGCGCGTCACGGAGTGAAGGTGATGGTGAGGTTGTTGATGTCTACGAAGCGCGAACAGTAGGCCTCGGAGATGGAGGGTCATATGGGGGGACGCCGCGGAAGGGGAGGCATAGGATAAGGGTGCGGCTGGATTACGCGCTGCAAGCGTCATCGACGATGGAGGACGTGTCGACGAGCTGGAGCGCGTTGCGAGCGCACACGGAATATTGGAGCAATCGGGATGCGATGCTGCTGATGGTGTCACAAATGATGAAGAGCTCGTTTGGAATAGGAGACGGGTGGGAGCCTGAGGACGGGGAGTTGACGATAATAGACGCGGACATTCTCAAGCGACAGGAAAAAATGTGGGGAGTACGCGGGTTTGCTCCGGAGGGGGCAAGGGTGGGACGGACGGAGGAGACGCTGGAAGAGGTGGTTCGACAAATGGTGGAGAAGATGGTGGATGAGGCGGTGGCTACGCATGAGCTGATGAAAGTGCATCCGCAGCTACGGATTCGACGGGGTGGGGTGACGAGCAAGACGCCAATGGGGAGTCGGGAGGGGCTGGGGAGGGAGCCGAGTGGTTCGCCGAGAAGCGGCGGATGGGCTTCTTACCTGCGGAGTGGGTGGTTTGGCAGTGATAACAAGGAGGGATAGAGTGGCCTGCCTGCTGACGTCGTATATAGTGTAGTTGGAACTGGAGGAGGATGTTAGGAGGTAGAATGCATATACTAATTTGCTAATTTGAACGGTAAAAGGATGCCGGTACTTTTGAAACTCAAGGCGTCTATTAGTACTGCGTACGGTGGCAGTACGTACATTGGCGTATTGGGCGCTCTTTTGATACATGATGCTGGAGTGAGGCGCCACTTTTGATCCTTCGGATATAAGAAGACAGACCTCGGGAAGATCGCGGGGCTTCAACGGCATTGAAGTTCTCTTACGCACTTACATGTCCTTCAATTCCTTACACTACTTTACAGTGGCAGGTGACAAGCAGAGTGCACGTTGAGTGGCTGGTGCTTCTCTCGCCACAATGGCATCTGCTTCAGATTGGCTCTCATCTGACCAATTCCTTTCACACTGAGATAAATCTGACATCCAAGGACTTTTACTTGTTTACCATTTGCCAACCAATCTCTATATCCACAATGAAATAGCAATTCGCCTACCTTCCAGCCCGTCCCGTCCCCCTCACTACTCGTCCCCCCACCCCCTCCCCCCGACCCCACTCTATTGCTCCCTTCGAGTTCCCCATCTACTGAGAACCTTTACTCAAGCCAGCGGGTCCACACGCCCCCTGCGCTGTCCCCCCACAGCCGCTCCCCCTCTCCTCCTCCCACCATGCCTGCCCCAGACACCAAGCCGTCGAACGGCGGCGGTACGACCGGCACCACCCTGACCCAGTATCTGCTCTCTGTCGCGAAGGAGCGTATCAACGCTCTAGAAGGCGAGGTTCGTCACTCGGCTCCCTCGTCCCTCTCCGGCCCGGCAGCCGCCTCGAAAGATGGCGTGCAAGACCTCATCACCCTTCTCCAGTCCATCACACTGGCCGTCAAGCGCGTTGAAGCCCTTGTACGCTCGGCTGGCATTCCTGGCGACGGTAACGTCTCCGCCCCGCCCGCTGCCCCTGCAGATCATGCCCGCTCGCTCTCCAAGGAGCTCAACACTCGCGCCAACGAGATTTGGATCAACGCCCTGCTCTACAGCCAGAAGAGCTGCGTCCTCGTCAGCGAGGAGCTCCCGGACCCCGTCATTATTCAGGAGGATATGCAAGGGAAATATGCTGTCGTCTTTGATCCGCTCACGGGCTTGTCGGATCCGCCGGCTCAGAACATGGGCGCCATTTTTGGCATCTTTCGACAGCTCACCGGTACTACTCCGGGCTTGGCCGACGTTATGCAACCGGCTAGAAATTTGGTCGCTGCTGGATATGCGCTCTATGGCTCTTGCACCGTTCTTATGTTTTCTGTGGGCCATGGCGTTCAACAGTTTACTCTGGATCCGAGTTTGAACGAGTTTATTCTAACCACAAAGGATGTCACAATTCCTTTCTCGGGTGCTATTTACTCGATCAATGAAGGCTATACATCTGAGTACGACCGGGAGACCCAGGAAATGCTCAAGTGTCTAAAGGCTGAGAGTACCATTGATGGACGTCCAAGAACATGCAGGTATGTTGGCTCCATGGTCGCCGACATACATCGCACTTTTCTGAAGGGCGGTATCTTCATGTACCCGCCACACACGCGCGGTTTCCCGAACGGCAGACTCAAGTTGTTGTATGAGGCGGGGCCGATGGCCTATCTAGTCACGCAAGCGCATGGCCAGGCCAGCACAGGGACGGAGCATATTATTGATATCGTCCCCGATTCAATCCATACTCGCGTTCCTGTCTTCCTGGGAAGTGAGGATGACGTCAATCTTGCTACTGGTTTCTATAAGAAGGCACCTTGGGGAAGAAATGATCAAGATCCTATGTTCATGCTACGCCGCACCCTCAGTATGGAAGAAAACAGAAAGAAATCCCAGGCCGAAGGCGATCAGCCATCAGAGGTTGTTGATGATGGAATCATGTGTTTCCATATTGGATAATCTCTGCCTGTAGCATGTGGATTTAGTAAATAACCTGCTTCACAGCGTTAAAGCTGGGAACAATACCGCTCTCGTCATGTAGCATTGTTGAAATGTATGTCCCTAGTTAGTGGTGCGCGAATATACTGTTGAAAAATGTGGTACGGGCACAGATACGACTTCCGAAGTAGCACGCCTAACCCAATTCGTTATCGTATCGAAGCAAGATACTCTCGTCAAATGTCCGCGGAGACAGTGGGGCGCGAACCTCTCGAGGTGGAAGGTCCAGTGCAGCGAATGCCTTAGTGTAGCTGCTCGGGAAGTGCGAGCTCACGCACCCAGGTGTGATGAGAATTCTTCGGAATAATCTTGGACGTACAACATAGCTAGCGTACCGAGCATCTGGAATGTATGCTTGCCCTAGGAATTCTTCCTCCCGCCCTGGAGATATTGCGTCCGCCTTTTCCGTGTCTAGGTCGTGTATCAACCAATGAATTCCGTGGTGCGTCGGGATAAAGAGTTGCTCCACTTGCTTCTCGCGGGGGTCGCGAGATTGTCGTTGATGCCTGAGAAGCAGTTTTTCTAGTCTCTCAACTCTTCGGGATTCTACTAATTGTTTCTTCTCAGGGACGGTCAACTGCAGCTCATCGATTCTTTCCATTTCTAGAGCCAAATTTCTTGCCGAAGCAAGGCAAAGTTTGGCCACTAAATCATGGTGGTGAACGAAACATTCGAGGGCATCGCTCCATTCCGAATCCACGCGATGCATCGGTCCAAACACTGGACATGGAGCAATCGCGTAGCACTTCACATCTGTGAAGCCGTTCATTAGAAGCACCTTAGTCAACAGGATGGCGACGCCGGCGCCGAGACTATGGCCAGTGACAGCAATGATGTACGATGGATACTTCGCCAATGCAGAACGTAACGTGGGTAATATGGCTGTGTATAACGACTCTGCAGCTCGTTTCATGCCACCATGCGCGTATCCGCCTGCAAAAGGCTCGTTGTCACACAGCAAATCTGTGATAATGTCGCTAATCGAATTCGTGCCTCGAATCGCGACCACAATGGACTTTTCTCTTTCGTCGACAGCAACAAAGTGGCGGGGTGCTCTAATTCCTTCGCCATCCAGTTTGGAGACAAGGATCTGATCCGGTCGTAGCCTTAACATATATTGTGCGACGTCCACTCCGCGAGTCCCATGTGTCATGAAATTAAAGGAAGGATCCATGACTCCCAACAGTTTCAAAAGCATAAAGCCGTACGTCGACAACGCGTAGTCCATATAGTAACGTCCCAGAACAAGTACATCAGTCTGACTTGGAGATTTTCTAGTAGCGGTTATCAAATGGCTCTCGGAACATGAGTCGTGCAAGATTCTCAAGAGAGAAGTGTCCAGAAATATGTGTTTTGACGAGTGTGGACCACGCAGTCCATCCGAGAAAGTCTCGACAATCTTGCCCACTGCTTGAATGGCATCTAACCAGGCCATGTGGTCTGTATGAGCTTTCGCGGCCCGCTTGCCCTCCTCTTCGCCCCGGCGTCGAGTATGTCGCAACCCGACGGAAACCAGAAGTTGACCTATGACAACAGTGACACACCCGCCCAAGAGGGTGGTACTGCGTGCGAATCCAGCCTTTTTTGAAAGACCGGTGCCTGCTAAGAACGACAAGACACCAACGGCGAAGCGGCCGGGGAGAAGGAGTACAGGGAGCCAGGAGAAGCGACCGCGGCGTTCCGGTCGGATGGGCTCGAATGCTGATTCATCCCCTTGGTCGATAAATGTGACAACAGAGTGATCTGCATGAACGGTTCTTTGAGACTGGCCTTGCTGAGGATTGGGAGACAGCGAGGGTGAGTATGGATAAGATGGTGTATTGAGAAGAGGAGCCAATTCGTACGGCAACATTTGTTCAGGCAACTGAATTTCATCGTCGCTCACATCTCTAGTCTGATAGTCGTGCTGGGACGTGTTGGGTACAGCTTCTCCTGACGGGTCTTGAACCATGCCCAAAATGCTTAATGACTTGGAAAACACGAGCGGGTCACTACAGTCTGTCACAGGTGTTTGAGGATGTGAAAGTAAGTAGTGTCATCGAGGGGAATGATTGTGAGGGAGCCCTACTCCACATAGAGGAACAAAGAAAGGACTTGGTCTACGACTGGCGCATAGACTGCCTGCAATGAAGGGGTTGTCCCAGAGATGACTGCACAGGGCATGCCAATGGTTCGATAAGGCCCTCCAAATCTCACCAGGGGGAGAGAAGACTTGTTGACCTGATGTACACGTGTTAATGGGGCCATCAACTCGCTCCGGATGGCGACACTGTCAGCGCGATGTCAGGCCGACAGAATCGGTAGGTCCAGAAAAGAGCTTCTTCGATTTATGAAACGAGTCGCGGGCTGCTGTCTTTTAATTCATATATTTTTGTCGTTAAGGGGGCATGTGGTACAGACTGTTCAGTTCTAGAGAGGCAAAGAACTCTTTAGATAGACGTTGTAGACACAATAAAACAAAATAAACGCGCAGGAACTCTCGTGAATGGTCGCTTCTCAATTGTGAGTGCTCTTGAGAAAGCCTTGTTCGTATTCAAATCATCTCGAAAACGATCAAAATCTCTCTACATCAAGTACGTGCATTTTCCGCAACTCGAAAAGCATTAAGCTTTGTACAGCACATCAAGTCCCAGCTTCACTCCACGGACCGGTCTTCGAGATTGCTGCATTGGGTTCCTAGTGTTCCTGAAGAAAGTTTTTTTTAATCCTTTCTTCAAGAATTAGCGATGACGATAGAAAGGCAACCATTCTTGTTTTTGACCATCCACACCCACACCGCATCCACAATTTCGCTTGAGAAGTGCTGTGGCGCACCAATACTGTACAGAACTGTACCCCTCATTGGATTTACATTGCAGGAAATATAAAATACAATTGGAAATTTGATATTTGGGACAGAAACCCGCACACGTTTGATGTATCCGTCCACTCTTACGAGATGCCCAGCAAGCAGTGTGTACTGGCTTAGTACACACCATTCAAGCTCGTGTGAGGCCTGCCACCTGCACCAGTCCTGTCCCTCATGAAGTAGTTAAAAAAGTACACGAGGTGACGCTAGACCGACCATTCGGCCGTAACATGCATTTCAATCGCAGGCTACGTTCGAAAGTCTCTTCTATCGCAAAGCCATTTCTGCTAGGAAATCCATTTTGACCCCGTGCCTATCGACCATTCCGACAGCACCCCTTTCTTTCAAATTCAGGCAAACCGCCAAAGGAGAGATGAAGATGGCCAAATCACAGAGCTCAACATCAACCAGTTCGCCCTCTTCTGTTTCGAACAAGGAACAAATCCCATCGCAAGAATCTGCCAAGTCGCTAGGGACTCTCTGGACAATGCGACGCTCTCCGTTCTCTTCATCTGTTAAGGTAGTTGTCCACTTGTCTGGTCGTTCAGTCGACGAAGTACCATTCGTCCCTCTCCTTTCCTACTTCCCTTTTTTCTTCCGTTTCGGCATGTCTTCCTTCCGTACCAAGCTGACTGCCCCAATATTCAAAACAAACGCATCTTCAGCCTCCTATATTCGCGACTCTGTGGCGATTTCGTCATACGTGGATGGGCATCGTGAAAGCAAACGACAAACCCTGTTTCCTCCGGACCAACATACTTCTATTATTCGATTCAATGAGCATGCAACCGCTCTATCTTCCTTCATGCGCAACGTTCTTGTGAAGAAGCTGACCGACAAGCCAGAAATCGCCCAAGAGACTTACATGCCACGCCCATTGCGAGGCTGGTTCTTCTCGGGCCTGCTTGTAAGATTTGCTCTCTGGCTTTTTGCCAAAAAGTACGCACATGAAAGTGCGGCTGCAACTCGGGCTCGTGCCAGGCAGGGGCTCGAGGAAACGAGAAGGGCACTCGAATTATCGAAAGCAACGCATTTGAGATATTTGTGTGGTGACACTCTCACGTATGCTGATATTGTAATGGCGGAGAGCTTGTTCTTCGATGTGGACAGGCACATCAGGTTTGCTGATTTGTACAGGGACGATGAATTTGCCGAAAGTTTCCCAGACCTCATTGCATGGGCAGCGGTAGTCCGAAGAACTCATTATCCCGAGCTCACGCATGGCAGGAGACGACCGCGACCATTAAAAACCTTCACATGAGTGAAGTGTGCTCGGGTACTGCCGATGGGTAGCAGAAGTGAGGTGCCCCTCTTCATTTTGACTAACAGGGGATACTCTCACTTTCCATGAGAAGCACAAGGTTGTATTCTACGCTTTCATTCTTGAAAATGCAAGACCATGCTCTCAGTAACAGCTTCTTCGGAGCCTTTACAGGGTTCGTAAGGTTTATACGACCCTGCTTTATATGAGCGAAAGGGGCAGCGTAAGTTTACTCGAGATTTATTGGTATGAAAGTACCCCCTGCTTCTGAATTGATAGAAACAAGAGTAGTTATCTAGATACGAGAAGCAAAATTTCGCTATCCTTTTAGAACAGTTTCTCCGAAGCGTATGAACCAGGGCAGGTTCTATACTTTATTATATGGGGTTATTGGTATATGGTTGTAAAATTACTAATACTCCCTTCTTATACATAGCATATTGGTTCTTGTGAAAAGCCATATGAACTCAATGCTGCAGAAGCGCCGTTACGGGATAGGAACTGATCTTCATTCTAGGTTGACTTGACAACCTTCCTTATGTTGGCTGCCTATCATTTCTCCAGAAAGACTTCGAAATTTAAAGCTTTCTTTGACACCTTCGACACCTCCCTGCAGTACTAAGCTCTTTAGCGACCCTTCAATGTCGTCGAGAATGAAGTGAGGCCGTTGCACTATTTCCGTACGGGAACAGGGGGAACCGCCATGCTGTATCAGGTGGCTCGCAGGAAATGATTCTAAAAGCGCACCTTGCGAAGAAAATCGTTTCCCCTTTTCCCCGCCAATAAGGTACCCTTTAGAGTACTGTAAATAGTACCCAACGGGCATGTATAGTACAGTACGAAAGCAGGTGCTGGCAGAACTGGATGGAAAGGCGCATTGTTGTTCTGAAACGAATTCTCGTGAGGCAGCTAGAATTCTGCTGCAGGTAAAGTAAATACTGTATACAAATAGGGAGCACACCAGCAGGGTTTATCCGCAGTGCATGCACACCCGTGATGCTGTATGTGGCTCATCAGAGTCAACGTGGCCCCAATCTAGCTATGAAGCTTTCGTGGCTCTTTCACATGAACTCGAAGTGCGGGTAAACGAACAGCGTTCTAGAAACAAGCATGACATCCGCTTTGCGTGTCTGCACATGTCAGGGAATGCAGGCTCCCCCTCTGAATAGCGGATTTCACTTGAAACTGCTCGTCCTTTCATACCGTATGCAATATCTATCGCAATGCTGAAGCGTACAGTATAGATATCTGCGCGATAGATTCCTTTGAATGCTGAGACAACGCAAGTTTCGGTCCTCAAGACTGTATTGTTTACAACTTTGGATTTAACAATGTGTTTGCAGCTGAAAGAGAGAATCTGTGCGAGAATCTGTTCAAGAATGTAACGCAAAAAGCGGACAAGATGATGCGAAAAGGACGTTTGCCAACCTTAGAATTGGTGTGCATTATGCCCGCACATATGTTTATGCATGTACCTTCTGGAGCTGTACTATACATAAAACTATTTCGTTTCAATGCGTTTGAAGAATGACGCAGCCCACAGCACATATTTGCGCTACAAAGGCACAAGTGTTCCTCATTTGGCTTACAACGGGATAACGCTTTACGTCGCTACTTAGTCCTTTTCGGGATACAGCAGAAACCAAAGGACTATGCTGCATTCCGAGAGTTTCACATTGCGATACAAGTGGGAAAATTGGATTATAGAGGGTGTAGAAGATCAAAATAGAGCCGTAGAACGGAAGTCGTGACGGGAGTTACGCTTAGTTTAATATATTAGAAGAGGTAGAATTTTGCGTGTGGGAGTGAGATGTGAACCTACTTGATTCGACGAAGCGGTGTGGAAAACTGATAGCTCCACGACTGTGGCAGGATTGCACACAAGTGAGTTACTGCGACGTTTGCGGGAGGGTTTCAAAGTGTGATGGTGGCACAAAACTTTGTAGAACGGTGGGGTGATGGCCTTAGAAGCAGCAGCAACAGCAGCAAAGTACGACCATAACGATGAGGAAGATAGCGGCACCGACGGCGATAGCGATGATGACACCAGTGGTCAGGCCTGTCTTCTCGGAAATGTCATCAGTGATATCCTCAGCCTCATCGAGGACGTTACGAGCGGAAGTGAGCCATTTGAAGGATGGAGCAGGTCTGGGGTGGTCGGAGGCGAGGGTAGGCACGGACGGGGTAGGAGCTGCCTCGCAGGCAAGTGCGAGCAGTACGCAGAGGGCAAGGAGAATGAATCGAGATGAGGCGACCATGGTGTTGTGGAGAGTGGATGGAGACTGAGGCGGTACTGCGAGTCGAGTGGGGAGGAGCGGTTGTGGGTTGGGAATGTGGGTTGGGGATGGGATGTGTCGGCGGAGAGGTTGTGGGGAGTGTTATATGTAGTAGTGGGCGCGGGTGTTGTTTGTGGTTGACGTGGGAAAAAAGTGCAATAGGTGGAAGGGTGAATAGGATAATACAGCGGAGGTGCTGTTGTGAAGGGCCGTTTCCAGAGGCGTCACAGCAATGCCTCCTAGCGATTCGCTCGTTGCACTCTACACGGATGTCGACATCGGTCATAAGGAGGAATGAGGTTTCCTGCACACTTTTTAAAGTCTTTACGTTCCCTTCCTGTCCTTTCTTTGTTTAACGACGCCGGACCGGCCGCCTCAATTCCGGGCCAGCATTGCTGGACGCCAAGCATTGCTGTGACTGGCCACTCAACATCCACCAAGAGACCATGACGTGTTCATGATCTTTACAGTAAGGCTACAGCCCGTCTCGGGCCCGTCTCGGGTTTGGTGACTGCCTGTCCAGCCGTTCTTGCAACCCAATTGTTACTCTGTAGACCCATAACGGTTCAAGACGAAAACGGGCTCAATAATGAAATGCACTGCCCAATTGTGTTGCCGACAGTGGCCGCACATGGGTGCTACCCTTGGTACCCTTCGAAGGGTAGTGTACCTGCAATACTGATACCAATACTCTCTCAATAAAGTCGACCATTCAAGGGTACCTGCGTGCTACATGAGTGCTACTTGGGTGCTACGGTATCTGTGCGGAAGAGGCCGATCGTCAGGCCAACGAGCACGCCAGTTCCGCTCTTAATCTACCCTACCCAGACGGGGTCTTAGCCAGACGCCAGCCCCACTGATCACCCTCTTGCCGTTTCACCGACCTACGCTTGGCAAGGGAGGAGGCACTCCTTTGCGCCGTGGCTTGTTTACACACCACCAAACTCTAAATACATTCCCAATTTTGTCACAAATAATGATCCTCAATCCACGCATCGCCCCATAACCGTCCAACAAGTAAAGTATACACACAATATGCACACGATTTACTATTTATCCGTAGAATCATGCGCTGTATTCTACGCACCTATCTTTGCAGTATCTGCATACTTCAAGACGCCTGACCATGCAGCTCTCGTGGCATACGTGTACCCGTGTACATGTGTGTAAATTGTGTAATGCAAAAGCAGTGCTTTTGCTTCTTTTTTTTTCGCAGTGCGCTGGTCATCATGGGTCCATCCAACTTGGACCCGGGTTTACATCTTTATTTACAACAGAGCTAAGACCCACTAGGACCCATGATGACCAGCGCACTGCGCACAACGCAACATCCTATCATACTTGTAGTGTACAGTACCAAGGGTACCAAGGGTATCACATGATGTGATACCACACCACACCACACCACATTTATTGCCTACATACTGTACTTGTACTTCTTGCGACTGACCTTTCTCTCTTTGTCATGAAAACCGCTTAATCCTTGTCTCCAAACGCTTGTGCACCGCCAAACAGCGCCAACCGTAGAGCCCCTATCTACCCCCTTCACCCCGACTCACTTTACGCCATCACTCCCCTTCTAATCCCCGCCTCACTCTAGTATTCTAACTGCTAAACAACCGCTTGGTTTCACTCTATTTCGCTGCGCCCCTTTGGTCGCCCTATATTCTCGCACCATGGGCAGCGATGACGAGCTTGCGCTCACCTCTTCTTCAGGTATGATTCTCTCCCGTTCCCTTTTGTCGAAATCCTCGCTTTAGCCTCGCTTTTTCCACATCACGGGAAACACAAAACTAATCCTTGCACCTCCACAAAACCGCACCCTCCATTTACTCTCCAGATATCGCCCTGCCAAAAGCTACCGTCAACAAGTTTGCAAACGAAGTTGCCTCCGGCTTAGACGTCCGTCTTACCGCTGACACCCGTGAGCTAATCGTCTCCTGCTGCACGGAGTTTGTCCAACTCCTCTCCTCGGAGGCCAACGAAATCTGCGAACGCGACCGAAAGAAGACCATTACCCCCGAGCATGTCCTGCGAGCCCTCACGGCCCTGGGCATGGAGCGCTTTAGTCAGGAAGTCAAGGACGAGTATGATAAGGCAAAACATGACGACAAACTGAAGGCGAGGGGTTCAGGGAGACGCGCAAAGGAGAAGCGTCCGCAGATTGACAACGCGGAACTACTCCGGCAGCAGGAGGCCTTGTTCGCCATGGCGAGGAGTGACCCCATGGCCCATGCTCATGCCGCTAATGACCAGAGTGACCCACATCCCGGCTGACCAGATACGTGTTGTACGAGGGCATGCTGCAGCTCTAGTCCCACCATGTAAAGTGTAACCATATATCAACTGCGCCATCACTCAACTACGTTTTCCTTGCTTGCATCCAACTTCCTCCGTAGTTCATGTACTTTAATTGAGACCTAATCGTAGCACTACGGGGATGGGCGCCTCCGTTTACTACACCCGCGATCAAGGCGTGCAGGTGTGCGTTTCATCAGAGGCAAAAGGATGAATCCTAATCTACGGTGGTATTCCTTTGATCAAACTCTTATTTTTTGAGGCTGCTATCCTACAAGCCTGGGGGTTATCAAATGCTTTTTTTGTTTGTTTTCTCCCATCGGCTGGCTGTGCTTTACAGCCAAACGCTTCCAATCTCCGCTATAAGTTTGTCTGCCCTATTCGTCTCTTCCGCTTCCAATTTGCCAGCCCCTTCCCCCCACCCGACCCGTCCACCTCCTTCATCGTCCATGAGGGAAGATCAGCGATCCGTGATGATCATCTCTCTCTCAAACGATTTTTGTATTGGCGACGCTCTCTTGTACCGCCAAAATGCCTCTTGAGTTAGCCGCCGACGTGTTTGAAGAGCTTTCTGCGCGCCATCAGAGGGACAGCATATATGCCAATCGCCGGATCTTATGCCTCGCAGCCGCTTCCATTCTCGTTACGGTATTCGTTATTATCGCCGCCATCGATTCAAGCCGGACAAGCTCTGCGCGCCGATATGCGAACGCTATCAATTGGAAATCAAATGCTGCGTTACACTGCGATGACACCCTGGGAAAGCGAAGGCTATGGTTTGGAAATATCGTCGAGTTTGGGGACTTTTGCGTGCCACATAATCTCTCCAACTCAAAAATCCGTACCGATGAAGATCAGGTGCTCAAATTCATTGTCATAGGCGACTGGGGTAGGGACGGCATGTGTTGTCAGCGAGATGTGGCAGCTGAAATGGCTGTCGCCGCGTCCCGAATACACCCGCAATTCGTCGTCAGCGTAGGCGACAACTTTTACAACAGCGGTATCAAGTCCAGCAAAGATGACCAAGTAGATAGGAGTTGGCGAGATGTATACATCAAGCCATACAAAAGCTTGCAAGACGTTAGATGGAAACCCATCCTTGGCAATCATGATTACGCTGGCAACGTCGAGGCACTGATTGACTTGGGAAAGGAAGACTCTCTCTGGCACATGCCTTCAAAATATTATTTCGAGACTGCCGCTGGCGGAGACGTATTCATGGCGTACATCGACACCACCGTCATGTACTATACACAGCAGGAACTGTTAGCTCTCTCCAACAGTGATGAGTTGTCAACGTCCTATCGGGACAAACAGGTCGCCGTAATCAAAAAAGAGCTAGCAGAGAGCACGGCAAAATGGAAGATCATTTTCGGGCACCACCCGTTTTTCGCGTCCGACGAGCACACTTTCGATGAGGAGCACAACCGCAGGCAGTTGCAAACTACGCTAATGCACGTCTTCAAAGAGCATAACGTGTCGATTTACTTCGGCGGACATTCACATACACTTGAGCACCACCACAGCGATGGCATCGATTTTTTCGTCTCCGGAGCCGGTTCCAAAATTTCGCAGATACACCGAAACCTCCCAACTGCCATGTTCGTTATGGATCGTCAAGGGTACATGATTGCGTCAATGGACGACACGAAAGAACATCTGCGAGTCCAAGTTATCGACATGAGAGGAAACATAATCTACACCGTATTGAGAGATGATCCGCAGTTTCCAATGTCAAAGGGCATAGAGTCGTAGGATGGTTTTTGAGGGAACCCGGGCTCGGAAAGCTGGGCGGATGCATGGCGCATTGAAAGTTTGAGGACACCCGTTAGAGCATCCCCATCGCGCAGATCTATTCGATCAATACAGTAACGTTGTCGGTAAAGTCGCGAAAACACGTGTTTTGGCCGCGAGTTTGCTCGGATTTTCTGATTGCAAAATTTTCAGACAACGAGTTTTGCAAAACTCACAGCATACCCAAAACTCGGGGCATGTGAGTTTTCCACGAGTTTTCACATCCGCCTGATTACAGCAGTGCCGGATCGACGCGTCTTGAGGGAAAACGAAGTGGGGTTTCCGCTCTCTCATCAGCACAAACGAGTCCCATACTGTACTGCACGGGTCGTACCGGTTTGCGTCATGGACGCCCCGCCCCTATACTTCACCTGCCCGGAGTCCATCAACGGATCAAAGCACCACAAGATCAGCCACATATGCCGCCAAAGCAATCGCGGAACAGAGACAGGAAGACGCCTCTAAAAAGCGGTCCTCTCCAAACGGCCCCGTCAAGAAGACGAAACACATCGCCCTTTCGACTGACAACCTTTCCATCCTTGTGGCGAGCTACAGAGAAGGCTCCAATGGTCAGACCGTATTATGAAGCTTTTCGAAATTTCGGAGTTATCAGCACCTCGTAGGTAAATGGCACCCGTTCTTTCGATTGGTCAAATTTGTTTTGTGAATAGGATGCTGTAAGACACTGCCTCAAGGGTCTGCAGACACAGGTCTGGCTCACACCAGATAGCTGAAAGTGCCAGGAACAGGGAGAAAACGCCAAATCATCACCTGAGCGGCCGGCCAAGAAATCAAATTTGAAAACATTTCACACTTGCAGAGGCCTTCTGCGTGGGCTCGTACTCAGATCCGGCCCTCGGCCGCTCACCATCGCGCTGATGGCGAGCACCTCCTGAGGCAATGACTTTTGCAGGCCCTCATGCGGACGAGGACGATGGCGATGACGAGCTTGTGGCCATGGAGTACGGCATGGCCCAGGCGCAGGAGCAACCGGATGCATGATTGACGCGGAGACTCTCATCGAAGACGACCTTGCCGATGCCGGGCTCGAGGGGGGCGAGGACGACACCGATACCAACAACGATGGGGACAACAATGTCGACTTCGATGGCCAAAACGGTGATTGCGAGGGTGAGCAAGGGGGTGAGAGTGCAGGTGCGGGTGATGGTGAGGAGGGTGAGGAGGGTGAGGAAGGAGCGACCGGGGGTGAAAACGGGGAAGCAGGAGTGGCTTTCAGGTCGGAAGCTCCAATGCTATCCTATACAGCGCGCCGGCACTTCGAAACGTGCATGTCGCGATGCCACCACGATGAGCACAATCTCCGGGACGGAGAGCAGCTTGCTGCTTGTTTCGCTAGCATGAAAATATCTCAGCGCATCGCCCATTTACGTTCTGTCATCCTGACCACAGGCGCTCGACCTGGGGATACTAATGAGTTGGGCAAGAACCCCGCCCGCAGTTCCCAACAGAAGAACAGGCGAAAACAAAAGTTTAGTGGAGGAATTCCTGACAATGTACAGCATCCAGTCGGTCAAGGTGGTAGTGGAGAGGCTGCCGCTGGTGGAGCTGCAGAGGGACAGGCTGGTGGTGTTGGAGAACCGAGCTGGCGTGAGGTGTTGGGCCCCTGGTGTTCTAACACTGTGCCCGGCGATATTGTGCTGCTGATCTCGAGGCTGAGAGATGCGGAGGAGGGCTTCGGTCCCCTACCATCCGGGTGGACTTCGGACCAAGAGCCCCCTATTTCTCGTTTTTCCAAGTGGCTTCGTAAGGCCTATCGTTCGCAAGAGAGTCCTGAACTACCGTGGGCTCTACGCATTGAGCGTGTCTGGCAGAGTAGAGAAACGGATCTCGAGGGAGTTGAGTCTGTTGGACGACTAATTTCATGGGATAAAGACATTCACGAGGCCACAGAAATCGAATTGGGCAATCTGTGTCAAGCACTTGACTCTGTCAGGGTCTTGGTTGATGATTTGGAGCACTTCTGGTCCGAATCTGCAGATGAATCTGAGTTGCAAGATAATCTACTTCAGCTTTGGCGATATGCGTTTGGGTCCCGTACTTTTGCCGGCTTCCAGGAGCGTTATGCAGCCTATTTTCACCCGGAAATGCTAAATGCTTTCGAAAAGGAATTTGTTGCATCAGCGTGTCGTCGACTTAGTCTGGAGGACTGTGTGGGAATGTGCCGTATTCTGAATGTGCCTGAGAGTCGCTATTCTGGCTCACCTCTGGGCGTAGTCCGCCTTTTACTGTCGGAGCTGTACACGTCTCTACCGTCTACGAATATATCTCCTGCCTTTGCTCTGCCGTCACAAGTCCACGGCGGGGGTGCAGCACTCGTTGTTGGTGAGGGTGCGGATTCACCCGCTGCTGCAGTGGCACTAGGACGTGTAGCATAATCGCGAGGACGTTATTCGAACGCGCAGGGTGACTACTGTACTCCCGCAAAATGCACTACAGCGCGCACACCCGCGCCTGTAAGTACGCGCTTGCTGCTCGCTGTGCACGTGTACAGCGTGACGATCCGGAGTAAGGCGCGCGAGCTTACCGTGTAAGGCGCTACCTGAATACTGTAGAAAATGTTATGTTAGATTATTTACTTGTATATTAAATGACAGGGCGGCCGACGGCGGAGGGAGGACAAGGACAAGCACGGGCTTGGTACCAGATTCTTCACTGCAGGTCTAACCCCGTCCGCTTATTCTAAACGCGTTCTCTTAAAGCGAGCGCGTTAACTAGAAACTAACGCGGGTAGCGGTCGCGAACGTACGCGCGCGAGCTGGATCCGCCTCCGCCCGTCGGTGCTAGAACGCTAACTAGCGCCGCCCCGGGGCGTCGAGCGCGTCGAACCGCTCTACCGCGTACTGTGTTCGCGTCCGCTCCCCACCGCTCTACCACGCTACCACCGCCCGCGTTCTTTTCTGGTGTGTGTGTTTTTGTCCTCTCTCGCGTACACAGGTCTTCGAAGAACCACAGCTAAACCCCCAACGCGACCGGGAGTTTATGCTACATTGGTCTCCCGACCTAGAAGGCCACACGATTATCGCGAGAAGACTATCGTTCGAGTCCGCGTCCGCACGCGTCGATATGGAAGAAGGATCCGCCCCCTCAATTCAATCCGAGCCGGCGAATATGGAGTCAACCGCGTTCCGCACCTCCGAGTCAGCCGCGCTCCGCGTCCCATTCGGCGGCGGTGGCGCAGGTCTCAGTGACCGCGAGCCGTCGCCTGAATTATCAGAAGGCCGGGCACGCGCGATGTATGACCGGATCGCGACGTATATTGAGGAGGTCCGGACCGCGCTTCGGATCGACGTAACGGACGCGGTATATTCGCATTGCATGGAAGAACTACGATCCCTTCGCGAAGGGAGGTTTGACCGCGTCTCCCAGTCTCTGGATAACCTCCGAGCACTAGTCGATCAACTGCAGAGCCGACTGGTGCTCGTCGAGGAATCGCGTCTCGACTCCCCCGACGAGTTCGGGGAAGGCCGCCCCGAGAGGACGGCCTCTGCGGGACGTACTGACGCGAGACCTTTTCCTTCCGCGGAGCAGATGCGCGCGTTTGCCCATGTGACCGCGCAGTTAAATTCTACTCGCCGACGTGTTCGTCAGATGGAACGTACCCCGACGGCGACGTCACCCGGAGCCCCACTGTTAGGGCCCGGTGGTACTGTACCTCCGAACGCGTCCGGCGCTCAAGATGTGGAGCCGGCTGGTGGTGACACCAGTCGGCCCGCATGCGGAGATCGAACAAGGATGGACGCAACTTTCGCGTCTGAAACCCAAGCCCTGCCGCATGTCGCCGGAAACATGCGGCAGACGGTTCGCGTACCTTACGCGGACGAGACTAGACGCGGGGATACCACCCGGGGATCGAGAGAACCGATTCTCGCTTTTGATCCCCGGTGGGGCGGCTATCAGCCCCAGGATCTCACTACGCGTCGGGGCCCGGTACACGTCCGTACGCTACCGGTGACCCCATTTGGCACATTGGGCCCCGCGGCCCCCGGGGTCGAGACGGTCCACACGATGATACAGGAATTTAGCTCCGTAGCTAATTACAGGATGTATCGCCTGGACAACGTCTCGACCCTCGTCACGTCAGGGGACGCGGGGCGAATCGCGAAGTATGTGCAGCGTTGTCGTGGGATTCGTCCCACGATGCGCAATTTCGATGGAACGAACGCGATTGAATTACTCCCCATCCTGAAAGATGTACGCATCACGTTCAATTCGCAACATCTGACGGAAGGGGTCGCGATTCGCGTCCTCGCCCATTTTCTCGAACGCTACGCGGAAAGATTATATACAAGCTACACTATGCGCGGAATCCGCGCAGGCCAGCTCCATAACGATGTGAGCTGGCCTGGACTTATTAATCAATTCATCAAGCGCTACCTCACTGATGACGTACTGGGGGTAGCGCACGATGCCGTCGCGTCGGCTCATCAGAAGCCGCACGAGACGGAAAACGCGTTTGCAGATAGGCTCGAATCGAACGCGTTCAAGTGCACCGCGGTATTTACGGAGCAAGCCTTGGCTCATTATTTTGTACGCGGATTGGCTCCCGCGACGCGAGCAGCGGTGGCAGAGACCGTCCAGAGGTTGCCCGCGAACCAGAAGACGGACTTGTCAATTATCAGACGCATCGCGACCGCAGAAGGAACCACGTTTCGCGCCCGACGCGGACTACCGCTGCCGGACCCGAAACCGGCAGCGAGGGGAGGGAGAGCCGCCAGGTCGAACGCAACGAGCTCCCCCGCGTCAGCCCTCGACGTTAACGAGGAGGATTGGGAAGCTGACCCCGTCCTCGTCATGAGAGGCGGGGAGGCTACAGGAGGCCGGCCGTCAACGCCGGCGTCGACGGAGACCACGGGCAGCTTTGCCATCGCGTTCGGGCATACCCCAGCGGGGATAGGTGGTCCGGACCACCGCATCGCGGAATTGGACATTTCGCGTCAAAG